CCTCCCAGCTGGGAAGTCCTGCTTCGAGGTGCCCCTTCCCAGCCCGCAGCCGTGGGCCAAGCACCACCCTCTGTCCTTGGGCCTTCCCGTACCATCACCATCCCACACGCTCCCCACACAGCACCCACGGGCACGGGAGAAAGTAAAGCCACCACGTGGCTCCTGCCCGTGGAGCTGTGGTGGCTTCCTCGGGCTCTGCCCAGCTGCCAGCGCTGCTCCTGGCCCTCCTCCGTCCCTTCACACCTGGACCCCCTAAGCCCTCTCCTCCTCCTCAGGGATGAGCAGGTCCACGGAGGGGTGTGGAGGGAATGGACAGGGCTCGCCCCGCCCCCCATGCACCTTGGTGAGAGCCCCCGGGTGGAAGGTCCAGCGGGTCTCGTGGCTGAACTGCACGCGCACGTCCCCGCGGTCGGTGATGCGGTGCACGGTGCCGGTCTGTCCCAGGAACTGTGGCGGTCGTGGAGGCTGTGGCTCGGGGTCCAGGGAAGGGGGAGGGGAGGGCACAGGGCTAGCGGGCGGGGAAGCTCACCTCCGCCATCCTGGGGTTCCACCCGCCATGGCCTTCCTGCATCTCCCTCAGGACGTCTGTGTCCAGCAGACACGTGACCTTGTCCCCGGGCTGGAAGGGCTGGCCGTCAGCACTCACCCGGCGCTGCAGCTCTGCGGGCTTGCCTGGAGGCAGGCGCAGGCCCAGCTCAGGCGGCACCCCCACACCCCGGGCCCACCCCCAGAGACCCCAGCCCAGCCCACCCCACACAGGTTCAGCCAGGCCGGACGGCCGGGCGGCCCTTACCCAGCCTCGGGAGGTGGTCCTTGTAGTAGAAGCCGCCGGCCGCCTCGCCCACACACTTGAGGTCCACCTTGCCCTTGTGCCCCACACGGTACACGTTGGTGGTGCCATCGGCCCACGTGACGCTGGCCACGCTCCGGCCCGTCTCCACGTCCCAGCCACGGATGTCCACCACTCGGCCTGGCTTCCCGTCCCCTCCTGGAAACAGTGCCCCACCAGCCGGCTAAGCCCGTGCCCCGAGGCCCAGCCACAGCCAATGCCAGCCCAGCCCCCACCTCCCACCTGGACCCCACTCACCGTCCTGTGAGCCCCACTCCCAGTCGGGGCCCCGCACCACCTTGGCCCCCTGGAAGATGCCCCTCAATGGGATCCTTGGGAGGCCCTGGCGGGGACTCAGTGTGACCCTGCAAGAGAGTGTGACCTGGGCCATGCACGGTGGCGGTGACGGCACTGGCCTCTGCCCTGCCCAGCCTCGCTCCCTGCGCCCAGGGCCCAGGACGGCTGGCCCAGCAGTTCTGGACCCTCCACACTCGGCCTGGAGCCTGCTGACCATGTTCCTCCAGGGGCCTCCCCGATGCACCCCAGGCCCCCCCAAGGGCCTGGTCCAGGGAGGGCCAGCATGGGCAATGAAGGAAGGCAATGCAGGCTCGGCCACAGGTGCCCAGACAGCTGACCCTGTGCTGTCTCTGGCCACATGTGGGCGTGTGAGTGTCAAGGACACAGGGAACAGGGACGGTCTCTCTGGGTGCCCCCAACCCAGCAGCCTTGTCCCCAGCGTAATCTCGCCCCCTCAACCCCATCACAGCAAAGAGGCTCCCAGCCAGACCACAGCTCCTGCCCCGTGTGCCTTGGGGCTGGCCCAGCGTGGGCTGCCCACTGCCAAGCCCAGGACCTCCACAGAGGATGCTGGCTGCAGGGCCACACAGGCCACAGGCCACCTCAGTGCCCGCCATGGCTACACTGGGGAGCCACGCCTGGCTCTGGGGGTGGCACCAGGACCATGGCACCACCTGCTCAGTGGACATGGTCGCCTTCCCCAGCGGACGGAGGCCAGAGTGACCATGACTCGGCCATTCTTCAGGGAAATGGCCCAGAAAGGCCTGCCCTGCCCCTGGGGAAGTGAGCAGAGGCAGCTCCGGCCCTGGGCCGAGGGCTGTCGGTGTCGGAGGCGCTGGCCAGGGTCGCCTGCACCGCGTCAGCCTGGCGGCAGGGGCGCAGACTCACGGGCGGGAGTGGGCCGTCTCGTAGCGCTCGAAGGCGTGCGCCAGGTCGTGCTTGTTGTTGAGGTAGCACTGCGTGCACAGGTCGTAGTCCGCACAGACGCGGCACTTCCAGCGCATGCCCCGCAGCCCGTGCTTCTTGCAGCAGTCACAGATGATGTTGGGGTGCCGCACGCCTGGGGGCGGGGCAGGGTCAGGGGGGGTGGGCGTGCCCCGCCCCCCGCCCGGCCCGCGCACGCACCGATCTGGGCGTTGTCGTAGAGCAGCAGGTCGTGCGCACCCTGGTAGCCCGCGCGGTAGTTGGTGCGGGTGCCGTGGTCCCACTGGACGACCACGGTGCGGTCGGGGGTCGAGGGGCTGCCATGGCGGCCGAGCTCCACCACCGTGCCTACGCCGCCCTCGCCGCCGTCCTGCTGGCCCCACTTCCAGTCCACGCCCCGCACCACGCGCATGCCCACCTGCACGCCCGCCTGGGGGTCTGGGTCCATGGTGGGCGGCGCTGCTCCGGGACCTGCAGGCAGAGGGCACCCTCAGGCCACAGTGGGGCTGCCAGGGAAAGCCGGGTGCGGGGAGAAGCGTGGTGGACATGCGGGCTGGGGACCGCAGGAGGCCCGTAGCCCACGGAGGGGTGGGGGCAGCCGGGGAGAGCAGCCTGACGGTGGGCGTGGCACGTCCTGGGCGTGGGTGGGCCCCTTGAAGGGTCCCTCCAGCTGCCCCGAGACTCGCCCTGTGGTGACTCGGGTGGGGGGTACCCCCAGGAGAGGACGTGGACCCCTGGGACCAGGGGACAAACCTGGCAGGGGAGGTCCCCTCAGCACGTGGCCACTAGGAGGCCCAGTGCTGGGTGTTCACGATCGCGTGGACTTGGCTCCAGGCAGCAGTGGAAGGTAAGACAGCAAAGCTGATGGAGCAAACAGACGGTGCAGTGACTGACGGGTGGACGGCGCTGCCGCCAGAACGGCTGCCCCCGGGGACACCAGAGACTGAAAGGGCAGGGCCCAGCCGCCGGTTTGCAGTCAGCTCGTCCCGCGAAGGGCTCGCACCTGCCCCGTGAAAAGGGCACCCACCTCAGCGAGCAGAGCAGACACCCCAGAGAAAACACTGGACCGCGGGCCCCCCAACAGCCAAACCACACGGGCCGGTCGCCAGGCCGCTGCTCGCGGTGTGTGCCCGCCACGGCCCCGTTTACAGAAAGGCCACCAACAGGACAAGCAAATGCAGGCGCTAGAGGGGGGAGGGGGGCGGGGGGGCGGAGGCAGAGGCAGAGTGGCCCTGGGGGCCCAGGGCCAGGGAGGTGCTACCCCTGACCTGCAAGTAGATACATGCCTGCTCACCGGGAACGCTGGGCTCACCGTGGCCTGTGCCCCACTACACGCACCTCCAGAGGCTCTTGCGCAACACGAAGGCCTGGAAGACAGTTGAGAGAGAAGCCTCGGGACTTGCAGGAGAGGCTGAGGGGCCCCTGGGAGGTGAGGCGGCCACCACTCCGTTCCGGGGAGTGTGCCTGTGGGGTGCGCAGACCTCACGTGGGGTCAGGGCTCTGCAGGGGGAGGCGTGGTGGGCACCAGGGCAGGGCTGGGTGCAGCCAAGGTGCAGTCGGGCAACTGCCCAGCACTGGGCACTGAGGCCAGTCCAGGGAGGGAGGCCACATCCCCCGCCCCCCGGCCCTGCTCCCGGGCCTGGCTCTGCGGCACCCCCAGCCCGACACTCGGCCCTCCAGGCCTGGCCAGCTCAGGGAACACCTCCCGGCTGAGGCCGCTGACGGGCAGTGAGGAGAGGCAGTGGCCAGGCTTCCCTGCCCGACTCCTGCTCCAGCCAGCAGCAGGGGCCCACCCTCTGCCCCACCCACTCTGAGACCTGCATCCAGCACAGGGTGGGCAGGGTCCTGGGTCCGTGCGCAGCCTGAGGGTCCAAGCACAGAACCTTCGTAGTCTCAGGGGTACGAGCTGCTCAGCCAATCCCCTTCCTCGCGGGCAGGGTCCCTGTGGGGGCGCCTTCCTCCCCTGCCGGGACCTCCGGGGCTTCCACAAACAGGGGGACGTTTTGAAAACGACGAACCCCTCTGACCGACAACTGATGAGGAGCCTTTCCCCGGAAAAGCCACTCCCTGCTGGTCTGCCCGGAGCTCGCCCCCTGGGCCACGCCCCTGCCGCCTGTCCTGCCCTCCCCTGTGATCTCCACCAAGATGACCGCCCAGGCCCCAGGCTGCTGCGGGCTCCAGCCAGGAGCACAGCCCCCAGGCCGCTGCAGCCAAAGGGCCCACATCAAGAGTGACCCGTGAGAACCTCCGACTGGGCCTGGTGCCAGCACCAGGCAAGGGGGAGGGTCCTGGGCGGCCACCGTGGCAGTCGGGCATGGCCGGCCACCACATGTGGCCTCAGGGCCTCCACCAGCAGCTGCCGCCCGCTCTGACTCCGGCTGAGCAGCACCAGCCTGGGGGTGGCCCTCACACCCTCCCCGCCCGATGCACCTGCTGAGCTGCAGTTGGACAGGGCGGCCTCTTTCCACAGCGACAGGCAAGGGTGGACGCCTGGGCCCAGCTGACGCTCCTGCTGGCAGAGGCTTCCCCACTGCAGAGCCCAGAAACTGGCCCCACCCCGAGAGAAAGAACTCAGACAGCCTAACTGGTGTGGCCCAGTGGATAGAGCGTCCGCCTGAGGATTGAAGGGTCTCGGATTCGATTCTGATCAAGGCACATGCCCGGGTTGTGGGCTCGATCCCCGGTAGGGGGCGTGCAGGAGGCAGCCGATCTATGATTCTCATCACTGATGTTTCTCTCTCTCTCTCTCTTTTCCTCTCTGAAATCAATAACAATTTATTTATTTTTTTAAAAAAATAACTCAGGCAGGAAAGGACCCCAGTGCCATTAGCCAGTGCTGTGGCCAGACAGGGTGGCATGCCCTGGGGGCTCGGCCCCAGCCTGCGGGTAGCCACACCTGCCTGTCTACTGGCCTCCGGGTCCCCGCCATGTGCTGCAGGACCATCAAGCCATGGGGCAGGGGCAACCCAAGCAGGGCCCTGCCCTCAAGGGTGGGCAGAGAATGGAGAGTGGGGTGGGGGGCCTGGCAGGACCCGTGAAATCAGGGCCAGGCCTCACTCGGCTGGCGAATGGCTGCCTGTGGGCCGCGGGGTAGGGTTTCCAGGGCGCCTGCGGCCAGTACCTGATGTCTTCACACCCGGTATTTTTAGCTCAGCAGACAGTTCTCCAGCCCCGGCCAGGAAACCACCCCCCTCCCAGGGCTGACCCTCTCGGGAGCCCACATGTGACACCCCAGGTCGGGGCACTAACCGTGGGTCCCCCCCACCCCTCACCTCTTTTGCCCAGACCAACACCCCTTGAGGACAGTGGAGAACAGAGGAGGGTCCTGTTCTGGGGCCCCCGCGGCCTGAGAGCCTTTCTGTCACTGCCCCTCCACACCCCACCCTGGGGTCTTGGGGTCTGCCCTCCGCTTCAGCGTGGCATCACCTGGAGCCTGAGCAGGGCCTCCAGCAACGCCTGCCCGCTGCCCCCTCCTCCACACCTGCCACAGCGATGGGGCGCCCGGCCCCCCGGCCTCAGAAGCGCCTCAGCACAGCACCGGAGGCCCCTCGCGAGGCGAGCCGGGCGCGCTCCAGGCTTCTCCACCGCTTTCCTCCACCCACGTCCCTGCCTGGCCTTTATCACCGTCCACCCCGGAGCCCAGCACATGGCCAACTGGACTCCACCTGACACCGGGTCCTGGGGTCCGAGTTCACCCCCCACCTCGGGAGGCCCCACCAGGGTGCGCGCGGAGGGTCAGCAGCCGGGAGGGGCCAGGAAGGGGGCCCCATCCAGTGGGGACTTCACCCAGAGTCATTTCTTTTTCTTCCTTTACCAGAAACACTGTGCTCGGCCAGCTGCCCCGGAGGCCACAGGCCAGGCACCCAAACCCACCCAGAGGCTGTCGCTGCGAATGTCGGCCACGACTCGCAGGCTGCCAGGGCGTCAGGACTCGTGTGACAGACGTGCTGCAGCAAAACCGGAACTCACCTCAGAACACACACCGGCCTCGCGCCAGCGAACCGGACATTTCGCTTCCAGTTCCTGGGCCTCAAACTTGCTCAGCCACCAAGACGTCCTATTGGGAACCGGGAGCGATCGCCAGCACAGACCACAGCCCCCCCAGCCGGCAGCCGGCCAGCCAGCCTGCAGAAAAATGGATGAAAAGGTGGTTTCAGCCCCACCGGCGTGCGCAGTGGCTGAGCGTCCACCTGTGAACCAGGAGGTCACGGTTCGATTCCGGTGGGGGCAGGGGCCGGGTTGCGGCTCGGTCCCCAGTGGGGGGCGAGGAGGCGGCAGCCGATCGGTGATTCTCTCTCATCATGGATGTCTCTCTCCGTCTCCCTCTCCTTTTGTTTCTGAGATAAATAAACATAATACATATTTAAAGGCGGTTTCCCAGTTGCAGCCTTTATCGCAACCAGACAAGTGGCCTGGGTCCGCTCTGTCGGCTGCCGGCCTGCGGGGGCAAAGCTCTTTACAAACCGGCCGCCGGACCGTGTACAAGTGAGCTGTTCCCCTACTTGTGAGCCTTCTACTGGGAAAAACGTAAAAGCTGTGGAGGCTAAACCACTTTTTTTTAAAAAAAAGGTCATCACATTTGCCCAGGAGTTGGGCGGACAGAGGCAGCCACCCCTCTCCCTGCACCCCTTAGCCCTGCTGCTGCTGCAATCAGCGCCCGGGGTGGACGATCAACAGGCGCCTGTCGGGGGGCAGCCTGGCTGAGACAGTGGACAGGCTGCGGGGGGCGGGGCGAGGGGGGGCCCAGACCGGACCCACGTGAGGCCTGCGGGGGGGGGGGGGGCAAAGGAAGGGCAGGGTGGCGCCAGCAGGTGGAAGCCTGCAGACGAGGCTCGCGCCCCCGCCAATGCACCGGCGGCTGGCGGCTGGGATGGCGATAGTCAGGCCACAGAGGAATGGCCAGGGCGCCCGCCGGGCAGGCCCGGGTTTGCCAAGCTCCGCACGCGGCGCCCGCCGGGAGTCTGTCTGGCACCTTCGCCTGTTTCTTCAATTGGCTCTGGACGCGGGGGGCGGCGGGGATCATCTATCAGCACCGCCTCCCCGGGCCCCTCCCCAACACACACTCACAAGCAAGCAGCGCCCTGACATGGCACCCGCAGACCCGCTCCGGCTCCGCGGGGCGGGCGCCAAGCCGGGCCGGCCACCCGCAAGCCGGTCGGGAGCGCACCTGCCCGGCCGGCCAGGCCCCCGCCGCCCGCCACCCGCCGCCCGCCGCCGGGCTGCAGCCGGATGCGTGGAGACCCGGGCGCCTGCACGGAGCTCAGCGCCAGCCCCGACCCGGCGGCGGCGGGAGGGCGCAGCGAGCACCCGGCGGGCGGGCGGGCGGGCTGTCTGCTCCAGGCTGCGCGCTGTCCACCTGCCGCGCCCGGGTCCTCCTGTCCTGCTGCGCTCCCTGCGGTCCGGGGCCGCCTGGAGCGGAGCCGGGGGGCGGGCAGCCGCGGCCCTGCAGACGTCAGGGCCCCGCACTGCGCCCTGGCCGCCGGCGCCCGCCCGCAGGGGGCAGCGGGGGCGCCGCGCCGGGCGGGCTGGACAGGACAGGACAGGACAGGACGGGGCCGGCGCCCACCCCGAGGCGGACCCCGCCTCGCCCTCCCGGGGCCGCCCCACCCCCTGTCATTCCATCTCCTTCCTCGGGAAGTCGCCCAGGCCCCGGGCGGTGGACTGACCCCGGCCCCGGCCGCGGGGCCACCACCGCCGACCCCTCCACTTGCCCGGAAGTTTGCGTCCCGCGGCGGGAGCTCGGGGACCTGAGGAGCCGGAGTCTGTCAGCCGCCGGCCGGCCCGCGGCCCCTCAGCTCCTCAGCACCGGCCCGCCGGGCCACCCCGTCACTGCGCCCGCGCCCACCGGCAGCGGCTGCCGAAGCCCCCAGCGCTCGGGCTCCTGGGGCCGCCGCACGGCCTGCCGGGAGTTGTAGTCCACAGCCCGCCGGCGCCGGGAGCGGGGGCGGGTCTGAACCACAACTCCCAGGAGGCCCCGCGGCGGCGCTGACGCTCCGGCTGCTGGGGGAGCTGCGGACGAGCGGACAGGGGTGACAGAGGGACCCCAGGTCCCGCAACGATGGGAAGAGGCCTGCTTCCCCGGGAAGAGCTGGGGCTCCAGCTTGGCTCTGCACCGCCGCGGACGCTGGGCGCGTTCGCGTTGGGCAGCGTGGGACGCACGTCAGAGGACTGCGGTGGCCTCAGGGACTGTCGCCACGCCCGCCGGGGGCAGGGGCCGAGCGGCGTGTGCCCGAATGGGAAGGGGTCGGGGTCACCAGGGCCGAGCACGCGCGGGGACGGAACTGGGCACCAGGGGACCAAAGCCCGAGTATCCAATCCGGGCAGCGCGCGGACCAGGGGTCAAGCTCTTCCGCCCTGGGGCGGGGGCTGAACCGGAAGTGCGTCACGGATGGGCGGGTCGCCCTCGCCGACCCTACGTGGCGCTCTAGGGTTCGGAGACGCGTTCCGTTGCCGGGGAGACGGAGGCTGCGGATGCCGGGGTGTCTGCAGCATCTTTGACCACCCCGGCCCTTGGGACGCTGAGATGAGGCGTGGTCACGGCAACTCTTGTTGTAAAATCAAAGTAACGCCAGTGCAGGGCTTTAATTCACGCAGAACGGAGGACATCGTAAAAGTCACTGTCTCTCGTGTGCTCCGCAGAGGCCAATCCTTTCAACTCTTGGGGCTTTTCCTGCGACAGGAACCTCCATGTTTCTAAAGCAGAAGCTGCTATTCCCTTGTGTTTAGACATTTCTGTGGACTTCCAGATAGTCAGTGAGAACTTGATCTCCAAACAACCCCGCCACCTCCGCGCCCCCCCCCCCCCCGCCATGGCCACGTGACCCCCCTACCCATTAGGATTATATCACCTGTCCGGTGCTGGCTGCTCTGCTACCTGTTATTGCATACAACCCTGCCTCCGTTCTTACACAGTAATTTCTTTTTCTTTTGAGTTAATACCTGGTCTTTTTTCTTTTCTGTTTTTGCCTTAGTGTTTTTCTTATGCCTAGAATTTTACTAACTCATACCTAATTTTTTCCCAAGGCTCTAACATCTTTGCCACACGCCTATTGATAACATTTTCCAAAGGCTCAGACACATTCTATTTAATTCCTGGAGACCTCTCTCTAGAGCCCGCCCCCCCACCCCACCCCCCGGCCACGTCCTCCTACTCCAATCCAGACTGATTGCTTCCGAGACCATGCATAGCTGTCATCTTGTGCTTTCTCTAGTCATCCTGCTGACTCGGCCTTTCCCTGTGCTGAGTCCGTTTCCTGGAATCTGTGCTGACCCCCTCCTTGGTCTGCTCTCTCGTTTTACTGAAGTCAACCTCTAGTAGCTTCCTGGGAAGGGTCCATATCTGAAGTGTGTTTATTCTACTCTCACTCTGATAGTTTGGCAGGGTATAGAATTCTAGGTTGGAAATGCTTTTCCTTCAAGGTATTTGAAGTCAGGTGGTGTTTTTTTTTTTCCTTCAGCTGCCAGGGCCGCAGTTGAAAACTCTAAAGCCATACTAATTCCTAACGATTTGTATGGGATATATTTGTTCTCTGAGAAAGCGTTTAGGATCTTATCTTTATCCTCAGTGTTGCCAAGTGTCACAGTACACCTCGATGTGGACCTTTCTACCCATGGATCTACACACACAGTTGTCTTTTTCATCCCAGAGGCTCATGTCCATCTACTTGGGAGTTGTTTTTTTTAAATACATATATATATACATATATATATATATATGTATATATATATGTATGTATATATATATTATTGATTTCAAAGAGAAAGAGAGAGGAATAGAAACATCAATGATGAGAGAGAATATTGATCGGCTGCCTCCTGCATGTCCCCCACTGAGGATCGAGCCCGCAACCTGGGCATGTGCCCTGACCGGGAATTGAACCATGACCTCCTGGTTCATAGGTCGACACTCAATCACTGAGCCATGCCAACTGGGCTCCTTAATTCATTTTTGTTAAAAAAAAATTGTTATTGATTTGTGAGAGAAAAACATCAATTTGTCGTTACATTTAGTTATGCATTTGTTGGTTGATTCTAGTATGTGTCCTGACCAGAGGCGAACCCCACAACCTTGGAGTACTGGGATGACGCTCTAACCCACTGAGCTACCCCGCCAGGGCCTACAAATTTGTTTTATTTTATTTTTTATTTATTTATTTATTTATTTTTTTATTGCTTAAAGTATTACAAAGGGTATTACATATGTGTCCATTTTATCCCCCCGCCCTAGACAGTCCCCTAGCCTCCCCTATCCCCCAATGTCTTATGTCCACTGGTTATGCTTCTATGCATGCATACAAGTCCTTTAGTTGATCTCTTACCCCCCTACCTCCTGCCCCGCAACCCTCCCCAGCCTTCCTGCTGCAGTTTGACAATCTGTTTGAGGCAGCTCTGCCTCTGTATCTATTATTGTTCAAAAGTTTATAATGGTCTCTATTATCCATGAATGAGTGAGATCATGTGGTATTTTTCCTTCATTGACTGGCTTATTTCACTTAGCATAATGCTCTCCAGTTCCATCCATGACGTTGCAAATGGTAAGAGTTCCTTCCTTTTTAGAGCAGCATAGTATTCCATCGTGTAGATGTACCACAGTTTTCTAATCCATTCATCTACTGATGGGCACTTAGGCTGTTTCCAGATCTTAGCTATGGTGAATTGTGCTGCTATGAACATAGGGGTGCATATATCCTTTCTGATTGGTGTTTCTGGTTTCTTGGGATATATTCCTAGAAGTGGGATCACAGGGTCAAATGGGAGTTCCATTTTCAGTTTTTTAAGGAAACTCCATACTGTCTTCCATAGTGGCTGCACCAGTCTGCATTCCCACCAGCAGTGCACAAGTGTTCCTTTTTCTCCACATCCTCTCCAGCACTTGTCGTTTGTTGATTGTTTTATTTTTTTTCCCTTATTTTTTTTTATTTTTTTATTGCTTAAAGTAATACAAAGGGTATTACATATGTGTCCATTCCCCTCCCCCCCGCCCTAGACAGTCCCCTAGCCTCCCCATCCCCCAGTGTCTTATGTCCATTGGTTATGCTTATATGCATGCATACAAGTCCTTTGGTTGATCTCTTACCCCCCTACAAATTTGTTTTAGTTAAATTGTAGGACACTGGTCAGTGTCTGCTGAGACCTGGAGAGTTGCTGGATGGTTTGGAAACACACATCGGGCTCTCATCTCTTCCCTTTCTGAGTTCATGTTTACTCTCCCTGATTCCACACACACAGACGTTCTTCATACGTGCATTTTTCTCACTTTAGTTTAATTATAGATTCTTCAAA